GGATACGTATAAATGTCAACTTTTCAGTGCAAAACCCCAAACCGAGATTTACCAACCCCAAAACCGAAATTGTGGACTGCCGGGTGTCGGGTTTCGGGGTTCGGGGGTCCCGGAACTCGGAACTCGGTATGTGAGACAAAATATATTTCATACACGGGTAAGTCAATGTGTCCGTCAATCAACTCGATTGTAAAGTATATTTTATTGATCTCCCCAAATTTCCCAAGTTCCGAGTTCCGAGTTCCGGGACCCCCGAACCCCGAAACCCGAAACCCGGCAGTCCACAATTTCGGGGTTCGGGAGTTGGGTCCCGGAACTAGGAACTCGGTATGTGAGACAAGCAAAATATATTTCAAACACGGGTAAGTCAATGTGTCCGTCAATCACCCGAACCCCGAAATTGTGGACTGCCGGGTTTCGGGTTTCGGGGTTCGGGGGTCCCGGAACTCGGAACTCGGAACTTGGGAAATTTGGGGAGATCAATAAAATATAATTTACAATCGAGTTGATTGACGGACACATTGACTTACCCGTGTTTGAAATATATTTTGCTTGTCTCACATACCGAGTTCCTAGTTCCGGGACCCAACTCCCGAACCCCGAAATTGTGGACTGCCGGGTTCGGGTTTCGGGGTTCGGGGGTCCCGGAACTCGGAACTCGGTATGAGACAACAAAAATATATTTCGGGGGTTGGAGGTTAGTAAAATGTTTATAGATATACGGAGGTTGATAGAAACATGTTTGAAAAATGTCGTTCGTCTCAAATGTCAAATCCTGAGTTCCGGGCTTTGGGACTCGGCACCCGGCACCCGGCACTCGGGGTTCGGCACTGAAAATTTGACATTCGGGTGTTAGGGTGTAGGGTGATATCTACCTCAATCTACAGTTTCGAGTTCTGGATATCGGGACTGATTATTGAATCATTCAATTGTGGCATAGGTAACATGCATTGAAAAAGATTTATGTACATCTATCACTGAGCAATTATGTAGCCATTGCAACCTCCTCACCAGGAAGATCAACCTTCCCCTCAACATCCATATCCTCATCAGAGGAATCATATTCTGGCAGGAGGTTACCTTGTTCATTAGGGACCACAATATCGCCGGAGGATTCTGGCAAGAGGTTGCCTGGTTCATCCGGGAGCACAATTTCGCCGGAGGATTGTGGACCCTCAGGCTGAACTTGGGTGGGCTCAACATTGAGACCTACCATAGCAGATCCATCCTCAACCATCAAGGGTGTGGGTTCCATGACTGACATGTCCAAATCAATGAGGTTGGAAAGTGTGGAGGGGAGGGGTGAAATGGACGGGGGGGGACCAGATTGATCAAGCAAGATTGTTGCATCGGCCGGTGTGTCCGGAAGTGAAAATGAAGGGTGCGGGTCGACCATCGTGCGCCGGAGGCTCTCATGGAGGCGTTGGAGGGTATCAATCTTAGCATCCTGCTCCTGCACCCGAGCCTCAAGAATAGCGATGCGAGCTGCACCATCCCGAATCGCGATTGCCATGGAATGGAGATCCGGCATGGGAACATCTAGTGCTGCACGAGGCAACTGCGAACTCGAAGACCGAACAGCTAAGTAAAAAATAAGGTCAGCCGGTCATCAAAAAGTGTGGGTGACTTACGAGTTGGCGCAGGTGCAGGTGCAGGTGCAGGGGCAGGTGCAGGTGGCAGGTGCAGGTGCAGGTGCAGGGTGCAGGTGTCTTCTTGGTAGTGATGGTCTTGCTGCGACCACGTGACTGCACCTGGGGTGTACTTGCAGCAGGGATGGCCGGAGTTCGGGACGGGCCACGAGATTGACTACGAGTCCGGGCCCTTGACCTGGAGGGAGACGGAGCAGTGGATGGAGCAGGGGCAGGTGTCTTGGAACGCGTCCGTCCCGTGGTAGACTTCCCTCGGGTCCGTTTGGGCGGGGATCCCAGAGATGCCGGGTTGCATTTGATCTTCTTGGTGGAGCAGCGGATGCAAGACAGGCAGGGATGCTGGACCTCTTGTCCAAACGAGTCGCACAGGGCCAATTCTCCTTGACGCAATAATGGCAGGGGTTGTTCTGTGGTATCCGTTAGTAGATGTACTAGGGGAATTAATTGAGCACTCACTGGGCCGGAATGGTGATATCAAATGTGGTAGTGGCCGGAGGGTCACCGTCCGAAGCGCTGGAAGTATCACCAGTGGACTCCTCAACTTCCGGACGACTGCCGGAGGTTGCCTGATAAATTGTAAGTACACATGTGAGTTCCGGGCGAGCTTGTAAGACTTACCCGAGCCTCCGGACGACTGATGGGAGATTCCTAATGCGATGGGCATGAGTAAGAATAATACATGCGAGTTCCGGACCTGTCCGGAAAACTCACCATGACCTCCGGACGTTTGCCGGCAGTCAGCTGTGGACACATGAGCATATATATGAGTTCCGGACGACTAAATCAGACTTACCGAAGCAGGCCCAAATGATTGCTTCTTGGGGAACCAGGTGAACGAGGCGACTGGGGTTTCCTTACAACAATGGTGGAGAGCTGGGAAAGGACGACCTCTGGCACTCCACGCGAAATCGGCTACAACAAATTGAGAGCATGTCACAATGAGCCAGAACACATACCTGAACAATTGGGTCTTCATCATCTTCCGACTCCACAAACGGCTTTGACTTGGGGAGTCCAGTTGACTTGACACACTTGTGACCCTTCATCGCCGACTTCGGAGGTTGGGAGGAGTGTCCAGAAATCATGGGGGACTTCCTCTTGTTGCTCCCTCCGACTTCCGGCTCCAAGTCAACAGAAATGGCCTTACCTTTCCCTTTGTCCCGGAACTCGGAGGTCGTCTTGCCGGAAGGTCCGGCGACATTGCCGGCGACGACGGGAGGGGAGTGAATGACAGTGGTGGGGGAAGGGACAGGTGCGGGGGAAGGGACAGGTGGAGACGGAAGATTGACAGTCAGTGGGCCAGTGGAAGGATTAGAAACAACAGGGAGATCACAGGAATTGTCACCCAACGCCTCCCAGGCACGGACCTGCTTGCGCCAGGCGTGTCTAGCCACCCGGGGATCATCATGGCCAATGCTGTGCCAGTTGGGCAACACCTGGGGAGTCATGGAACGACACCCTCATCAGCTCCTTAGAACAGGAAGCCACAATGCCAGGGATGTAATCCCCTTTCTCATGCACCCGGATGATGTCAGCCTACCCGGATATTAGAAACATGAATGGTAAACTAATTTAATAAGTGCAACTTACCAACAGATTGGTGACCTGCCTTGCCAGAGCAATGTGGATGTGCACTGAGCCGGCCGGGACGTGCCGGGTGCCGGCAATGACGCCCACAAGTTGAGCAGTGGATGCCTTGAGGTCGGCCAATAAAGATTGAACTGGAGTAGACATTTGGATTGAGTTGACAGATGTGAGAATGTTGAAAGCAGGGTGAAATCTGTTATCACTAGAATGAAGTTTCAAAGAAACAATACAATTGAAGGACAATGTTGAAAATCGTTGATTGTTTGTCTTTGTTTGGTCATGGTTCAACTTTCGGCAATCGCCGGCCATGTGTTGAACTTCGACGTTATCTGTTATCAATCAGTTCATCAGTTCATCAGCTCATCAGATATCATGAGCTCTCAACCTGGGGTCAGATTTCATGACCCTCCGGTCACTGAATACACCTCAATGGATGTGGATGAGACCTCCCAGTCCCGGATGTCCCTTGGTATGTTTTGTTTTTGCTGATTTCAGTGAATTGATCTTACATGGTTTAGATCCATTAGATGATATATACCTTGGGCCGGATGATGAGTTAGACTCTGATTCTGGGTCATCCGGTGGTCTGGATTCGTTAAATGCGATTCCCGGTATGTTTCTCAATTCAAATGTACATATTCTACATGTGCAAATCCATCACATACTTCCAGATCCATCATATCCGGCCCTGGCAGATGGACTGGCCCTGTACGATGACCCGGACTTATATCTTGGTCCGGAGGATACCTTTATTTCGTCTGATGATGCTCCGGCTGTACCCGATTTTCCTATGGCTGGTGAGGTTATTCTTTTCATCTCATGTTCATTTTTCATGGCATTTCCCCAGTGAATGAATCGACTCCCGAACCTCATCCGGCCACTCCGGCTGTACCAGAGGCACCCATACCTTGTACGTGTATTCATATCATGTCATGTGTTCTATTCATGTTATCTCCCAAGCGAATTCAGAAACTCCCGAACGTCAATTGCCCGAGCCGGAACTCAACAATGACGAACTGCGTGCCATGGTTCAGGAGTTCATGCCAATCGGATCTTATGATCAAGCTGAAAGTATGTATACAACAGTTGATTATTTATCTCTGCTAATGTTCTGCAAGTTCAAACAATTGTAGATCGCCTGGGTGATTACGAACAGAGTCATGGAAATCTTCCTGCCCCTACAGTAGCACAACTTCTTGAGGCTGACAGACCATTCAGGATGGCATGGGCGGAAACATGCGACAAACTGCGGAAAGCAGATGCTGACCTCCGGAGGATGCAACGGGTAAGGGAGTCAACCTCCGAAATGCTGAAGGTATTAGATACCCTCATTGAGTTCTTTGAGGACTCAAGTAACATGTAAATATCAATCAATGTCTGATAGTAGACATATTGCAGTATACTTTACCTACTCAGTACTTAGTCCTTCCTCGCTGCCCGGTGTTCTGTGCTCGGTACTCCGTACTCGGTACTCGGTGCTCGGTGCCCGGTGATCGGGGTTCGGGGTTCGGTACTCGGGGTTCGGTGCAGTATACTTTGCCTGCTCAGTACTTAGTACTTGGTACTTGTATACTTTACCTACTCAGTACTTAGTCCTTGGTACTTGTATACTCCACCTACTCAGTCCTCGCTGCCCGGTGTTCTGTGCTCGGTACTCCGTACTCGGTACTCGGTGCTCGGTGCCCGGTGATCGGGGTTCGGGGTTCGGTACTCGGGGTTCGGTACTCGGGGTTCGGTACTCGGGCCTTGGTACTGGAGATTTGGGATTTAAGATTAGGTCGTTAGTACTTTGACATATACACAATAGCACATATGACATTACACATGACGGCAGGAAGATATATCTACATTAAGTGCGTCCCCGTGCTCTGGTTACTCTAGGTGTACTGTCTACTGGCATTTGCAACTTACTCCGGGTCGTCCTCGTGGATGGTTCAACTGTGACTTTCTTGCCCCGCCCCCTTTTCTGTGCCGGCGGCGTGATACTCTCTTCCATTTCAACATCCTCTCTAACTTCTCTGGTCGCGTCTTCAGTTAACCCAGCAAGGAGGTCGCCCATTCTTGATGTCAGTAATGCACCTTTTTTGGCTGGCTTGGCCCGGCGAGGCTTTGGAATTGCACGTGGGACTGCCGTCCCTTTTGGTGTAGGACCTCCCTGTCCTGGGTTTCATCAGCGGATGTCTCCCGTCAGCCAGGTCATCATCCACATCATCCTCCGTATGATTAGTGGCACTCTCCTTATCACTCTCGGCTTCTGTCGACGAATCCCGAGGCCCTCGGATGGTAACCCTCTGCTGCTTTCTCACTATACTAGTCTGAGGAGAGGGCGACTTGCCAGATATGACAGATGGTACCATGTCCCCATCTTTGTTCTTCCATGCTTTGAACAGAAATGTGGGACCTTCTCCTGTTTCCTGCCGAGCATGCCAGAAATGGAGCAAGGCAGTCGTGTCCCAATTTTGCAGCTTTGAAGGCTCCTTCAAGTCAACATCTGCCGGAAGATACGTCCGGGCCACGAAGTCATCCTGACTTTGTACAATGGCACTCCATGGTACAACCGCCTTGTCCTTCCCGGAACATATCCCTGTGTCCATGCATTGAACAATTTGTCAGATGATGCAACGAGAAACTCACGATAGTGCGATGTAAGAAAGGCCCTCACTATGGCCTTCTTCTCCTCAAGTTTCGTGTCAGTGATGTCGGGAAGGAGTGGCATACCCTCCCCGTCCATTTCGAGTTCGAAAGCTGGTTTTCGAATTCTTTTTCGACCTCCCTTGACCTGACGTCCTCCATCCCGTGCCCCGGCACCTATCATCGTGATGCTCAACATGTTCAATCTGGTATACATGGTTCAAACACTCACCGAACTGTTCCTGCGCGTACTCCTGCCACACTGGCTCAATGTCCTCCCAGTCCTTCGTCTTCATGAAGCTGTCCCCGTCTCCTAAGGCCTCGTTATCATCATGCCTGCATGAATATTTTCAGATGAAAGATCCATGTCAATGGGTAAATGTACTCACATCCCGAACAGCACCTCTCCCTTTTCATTCTTCCAAGCCGACATCACAAAAACTCTCATCCCACATTGCCTCCACATCTCGTTCGAAAAGTGCTCCATATATGCCGGACCCTTCTTACGGGCGACTTGTGCTTGTATCTCCGGAGGCGGACAGTTGTTGGACCACTCTTCCGCTGTTTCTTTCGCCTTCTCCAACTCGTCGTCGTCCAATTCAGCCATGACTCTCTTCACCGCCGCCTGATAATGTTTGAACATACCAGGATCTCCGGGCTTTACCCCCGACTCGTCCTCAATCCTCTTCAGCACCTCTTCGCGTTTCTGCTGGTAGACCACCATCCTGGGCGTCCATTTCCTCCCATACTTGATGGTGTCCTTCCTTTCCTTCTTTTTCTTGTTGTTGAACAACCAAGTCTTGTACACCTAAGATTTGATGAAAAAATGTGATGTTGAAAATTTAGTTTTTCAACGCAACAAAGGAGCATCACCTGCTTCCTCTTTTTCCATTGTTTTTGGTCCACCTTAGGAGCAAACAACCTGGCCGCCCTTGCTATGGCAGTGAAAATCCCCCTCTTCTCACTCCTTTTGGCGGCAGTCCACTCAGGAAGGTAGTTCTTCAACTCCAAAATCTCCTTGTCTGTGAGCTTCTGAGACTGTGGTTGACGCGCCCTGTGTCTTCCGGAAGTCATGTTGGTGGAATGACCTGTTCTTGCCATAGTGAATCAGAATGCAGAACGGGCTGAGGATTTGCAAGGTAGAAGTATTAATGAATTGTGCGAAGTTGAACTTAGAGCAAAGCCTAATAATCTGTTAATCGGCCCATATTTGAAAAGAATCCATTAATGGAAATGAATTTGTAATGAGCCAACAGGACTGCACAGCATCATATTGCAATAACAATTCATTACACCTGAGCTGATGCCTTGCTTGCAACATTAGTAAACAAGATGAAGATAGGTAGATGCACCCCAGTGCAAAAATCTCACAGGGTGGAAGCAAGGGGCAGCAAAGGTAGGAAGACTTGGGTCAAGGTCCCACTTGCAAGCACGAGGCGACATGCCTACAGGTCCATGCCTAACTCTCCCCCAGAATCACCAACAATTCAGCCTGTTGAGGCACCACCTCCTTGGGAAGACTTTCCTGACAATACTTATGAGCAGGACCAAGGCTCCTTTGAGCCTTTGCAACTCCCAAAAACCATGGCAAGTTCATGTACAATGTTGGAGTGTCATTCAAACTATGGCTAAGCATTCAAAAATACAGAGTCAAAATGACTACCTCAGGCAATGGCTGCCAAGGCAGGAATCATATCTACATCACCTCCTTGATCGAGAAGCTCCACCAGAAGACAGGAGATGCATCATCTGCGAACAGGATGGGGTGTACAAATGTCAAGATTGTCTTGGCGAGCCACTCTATTGCACGGGCTGTTGCAGGAGTCAACATCGTAGCAATCCTTTCCACTGGATCAGTCAATGGAATGGGCGATTCTTTGAGCGGAGTTGTCTCGCTCATGTGGGACTCATTATACACCTTGGCCATGATGGCAAACAATGTCCGGAGGTCACTGATCGGTGGAATTTGTTTGAAGAAGATGAACCTGAAGACCTGCTCGAGCCTGAAGATCTGCCATTTGTGTCCGGACCCGAGTTCCAGCCAAAGGAAAACACCATGGTCATTGTAGACAAGTCCGGAGTTCATCGCCTGGAGATTCGATGTTGTGAATGTCCGAATGCCATGAGTCCGGACATTCAAATGTTTCGACACGGATTTTTCCCTGCATCTTTCAACAGGCCAAAGACTGTGTTCACCTTCAGAGTGCTCAATGATTTTCTACTGGACAGCCTTGAATGCGGCACCTCGGCGATGAACTATTACAGCAAGCTCCGGCGAATGACCTCCAGCATGTTTCCACACCTTGTTCCGGTAATGCCTTACCCTCTTCATCTACTGGACATCATATTGACAAAGCACATTGCAAGGACCGATACAGAGAGCTCATGAGGGTCGCTCGACAGTGGAGGCAGTTGAAGACAATGAAATGGCATGGCTTTGGCCATCGTTCTGATAACCCGAGCACAGGAGAACTCGCATTATTTTGCCCGGCGTGTCCTCAGCCAGGGATTAATGTGCTGTTGTCAGAGGATGAATCGCTTGATGAGTGAGTCCTATTCTCAACCAATGTGGCCTCCATAATAATACTAGCGATCCAAGCTGGAAATACACCCGGTCATTTGTGATGGACGGAAATTTCAAAGCCGAACATCTGCATCCCATTAAGCCATTCGATGAAGTTTGGCTATCCGATGGGCTTGGATTCATGGTAGGAAAGGACCGGTATAAAATGCATCTGGCAGAGGCTGCTGACACGGTGGAAAAATCAAGCTGCAACAACCACCGGGCAGTAAATCAAGCTAATGCTGCTCGGCACAAGCTGGAGTCCACCGGTATCGGGGGAGTTGCCTGTGCCAGACACGGTTGCTTTGTCCCTCACTCCATGGTGGATTTTCAGAAAGGCGAAAGGCAAGCCACATCCACCATTCCTCATTCACGAGTTAACCATGGGTCACTTGCAGACAAATGAACATGGACTACGCCCTTTGCGAGGCTTCCCGGCACAACATGGAAGGCATCACCAGGGCTGTCACCTTCTATGATATTAATTGTCAATACAACAAACACTTTCGGGTTCGGGTGGATCGAAGTCGATTTCTAGACATGGCACCACAACTAACCATCATTCCCGGAATTGGGTTGTGGCACATTCATGGCCATCAGGACAGCTGCTATGTCCGATATGCTTCTAACTTTATTGAAGGCATTGGTCGGATCGATGGAGAGATCATGGAGACGCTATGGGCACGGCTCAATCTGATTTCCCCTGCTGCTCGGGGAATGTCATCTCCCCACCGAAAGGAATGCCTTGATTATCAGATGAATGACTCCAATTTCTGCAAGATGATTCGCATGAAAAGGACTCTATGCCGGAAATACAAGCTGGCGAGGAATGGCATCTCGGAAAGTGGAAAGGCATTCGACAGACTCGATGAAGCAGCACCCTCACATTTGAAGACAGAATGGTTAGCCAGGGAGAGGATAGCTCAGTCAAGCAGATTGAATGATCCTGCGGCGATGGATGAATATGAGATCAATATAAAAAAGGGTACGTTGAGTTCCATTGTCTCCATCGAGGTCGGAATTAATATTGCACTCAGCACCAAGCAAAAAGGAGATCGAGCTTAGATTATTAGAGGAGGGTAACGCCCGCAATGCAGCACCCTCTCGCAGATCTGTGGCGACGTGGATATCAACAGGGTTAGCAATTGAAGAGGCTCAGATTGCATTGCTCATCGAGGTCCGAAGGATCGGAAGAAGATCCACTGAGACACAGAGATTAGACATTGCCCGTCAACGCGATCGGCTCCAAGGCCAGATAGATGGATTTGCTCGGTCTGCTCTAACACATCTCGGGGAGGGATTTGATGCAGATGATGAACCTGAGGACTTGAACGTAGACATTCTAGATGATCTCGATGATGACCCGGCGGATTTCACAGAGACATCTCATACATGGACAAACTCTCCCGAGCTCACTGTAATCCCGTTGCCATCAAACCTGGGTGTTGATAGATGCAGACGATGCATGGCAGAGGATCTGATTCCCCTGGAGATGTCTCTTCGTGAAGGGCAGGCCAATGATGCCCTTCACAATCTCCGCATTTACCTTTGCAACAAGGCCATCCTGTTCCGAACAACCGTTCGGCAGGCCAAATCCCAGGCCCTGAAAACTCGAGCTTGGTCCCAGGTGACGTCGGTGCAGCAGGCAGTCTCCCTCCATGCCAGCATATATACAAAGACCAGGAAGCAAATGATGAAACTTGAGCCGGGGCAAGACCAGCTTCAGAAATACAAACCCCTGCTTCGCGAGCAACTCAAAATCAGCACTGCAGTGGGCGACCCAAATGCCCGAGGTCAACGAAATGAATCTTTGGCTTGGTTTTGGTCTGTTGAAGTCGACCTCGGGGGTCCTGATCAATCGTGGAATGAGGAATGTGAGTTCCTGCTTGCATGTCATATCCCACGGTTACCTGACTGGACCCATGCCAAGTTTACCGAGTCCATTGGCTGCGGGCAAAGGCACTACGAGATCGATGGAGGGAAGAAATGATATTGGTCAAATTGGAGATGGATTGGACATGTAAGTTCTTTTTGTGGAAAGCAACCCAATGGGGCGACCACATGCAGGAATCATTGGAGAAACGCCTTCCGGGTCACGGATGCTATGCCGGAAGGCAATCGCGAATGTATTCATTGCTCGCACAGGATGCGCAGGCAGCTTTTCAAGACCTACAAAACGTGTTGATAGAGGCTGGAGATGAATGAACATTGTTTTCTCATGAAGTCCCTTTTTCCACATACATAATTGAGGCCCGGGAATTGTCCGGGTCAGCCCATGTCGGAGTTTGAATTTCGTATCCATCCATCAGTGATTCTTATCTTCACATCTTCACCATCTTTCACTTGCATTGCCAGCGCCATAGTCCTGTATTAGCCATGCCTGCAACTCCTGCATCCACTTCTGGCACTCTGAATGCCGGAAGCCATTACCGACCCCTGAAGCTGAGCCTTGGAACTATTTCCTGCACATTGGCAATGGCTGGATCGCGGGTCCGTGCATGCATCTCTCAATATCAGACGGAAGCTGCCAACAATGGTCTATCTTCTGACCGGATAAAGTATTTTAAAGCCGGGCTGCAATGGGAGATGAATGTATGTTACCACTGCCCTGATGACTTTGTTGGTCAATGCTAAAAATTTGAGCAGACTTTTGTCACACCACTCCTGCAGTACTCAGCTTCACAGAATATCGTGTCGGTTCTTCCGGTCCCTGTCGCTTATATCCTTAAGTTGTATCCCATGCTAACCTGGAACACGGTTCCGGACGACGTCTTTTCATTCCACCTCCTTTCATTTGATGATGAGGCAATTGCAGGACATCCGTCCCGGATTGTGTTTGCATATACATGTCCATGGTGGATGGGAAACACCACAATCCCGGATCAACCATGGCAGTGGGATGAAATAATGGCTTCCTGCGTCTCTCACTACCAGTATTGGGCGGTAAGATGTTAGCTGAATTGCCTTGATTGATGACTTATCTGTTCTAGCTTAATGTTGAGGATGATGCTTTGGTTCTTCCAGAGAAGTTGAGAAACACTTCGACTCCACCACTTATGGGACTGAGGTGGATTAAAGAACGCATGGAAGCATTGATGGAGGAGCAAGATGAGGGCATCAAAGCCAAGATGGCAGAGGTGAAGATGTACACTGACATGTTAGAGAAATTGAGGAAAGGCAAAGGAGTGTAGTCCCATTCAGTGTTCATTGTATACAAGATGTAAAATATTCTATGCATTCAAAAATCTTGCACCCGAGTCCCGGAAGCCCAGGTCCCGAGTCCCGAATTTCGGAGTTCGGGGTTCGGCGACCCGGAGCTCGGCAACTGTGTTGGGTGTCAGGGTATGCGGAGCATTGGAGATAGCATGTGTCAGTATTTTGCGTTTCATGGTTCATGTTTGGCTGACACATGCGATCTCCAATGCTCCGGATACCCTGACACCCAACACAGTTGCCGAGCTCCGGGTCACCGAACCCCGAACTCCGAAATTCGGGACTCGGGACTCGGGTTTCGGGACTCGGGACTCGGAGCTCGTGACCTGGGACTCGACAGTGTTCTGAATACCGAGTCCCTGACGCCCGATTCTATAATCACGAAAGATTCCATAATCACGAAAGATGAACCATGAAACGCAGAATACTGACACATGCTATCTCCAATGCTCCGGATACCCTGACACCCAACACAGTTGCCGAGCTCCGGGTCACCGAGTCCCGAAGCCCGAAGTCCGGAGTCCCGGAATTCGGAGCTTCGGGGACTCGGTGACCCGGAGCTCGGCAACTGTGTTGGGTGTCAGGGTATGCGGAGCATTGGAGATAGCATGTGTCAGTATTCTGCGTTTCATGGTTCATCTTTCGTGATTATGGAATCTTTCGTGATTATAGAATCGGGCGTCAGGGACTCGGTATTCAGAACACTGTCGAGTCCCAGGTCACGAGCTCCGAGTCCCGAGTCCCGAAACCCAGGTCCCGAGTCCCGAATTTCGGAGTTCGGGGTTCGGCAACCCGGAGCTCGGCAACTGTGTTGGGTGTCAGGGTATCCGGAACATTGGAGATCGCATGTGTCAGCCAAACATGAACCATGAAATGCAAAATACTGACACATGCTATCTCCAATGCTCCGCATACCCTGACACCCAACACAGTTGCCGAGCTCCGGGTCGCCGAACCCCGAACTCCGAAATTCGGGACTCGGGACCTGGGCTTCCGGGACTCGGTATTCAGAACAGTGTCGAGTCCCGAGTTCACAATGTCGGGGTTCAGGGTTTTGTCAAATGTGTACGGCAATAACAAATGTTAATTTGAGCATATTGATACATCTTCCCCCAGTCTCAAATATCAAGTGCTGAGGTCCGGGTGTCGGGACTCAGTACCCCTGGCACTCGGGACTCCCATATGTCAAGTCCCGAGTTCCGATTATCGAATACCGAGGCTCGCATCCAAATTATTCAGTCCCATATATCACTTCGCAAATGCTCACAATTGAGTATTGAGGTCCAGATAACTATTGGTACATGGTATTCATTTGTTGGAATGTATATAGGTCACAATGCATGCTCTTTGTTTGATCTTTCACACACTGTATGGACCATCCACACTAGCCCATCCACATGATGGAACACCAGCGTAAATGTGAACAGAATCCCTCATATACCATGCCCAAGCAATCCGATCCCCTTCCACATCATAAACTCCATGTCTCACAATCCTTCCGGAAAACGCAATCATACAGCCGGAATTGTACTTGAACTCCAGCTGAAGGCTTGGCATTGTCATCCGAGCATTAGAATAGTTCCCCACGGTGGTGAGAATGTCGAAGCATTCAGCAATGGACAAATGGTCTCGATGATTTGGGGTTTCCCGATTGGAAATGATGGAGAGGGTGTTAAACACCGATGCCCAGTACTGCAGGGCCTCCGGCATCTGTGGCAGATCCTTGCTTACTGCTATATGTCCTAGGTTTGACAAGGTTCGCAACCCTGCCCAGTACTGCTCAGGATGCATGACTCTGAGTGCCGCGGACGCGATGGCTGCTGGCCTTGAAATGGCTTTGAGGATATTCTCGCAGGAAGGTCCCTTCAATGATGCAGATACCTCCGGATCGGACACATTCTTTGGGATTGGTGAGTATGACTGCCGGAATCACCATCTCATCAGATCCTACCTCGTGTCCCTGTTGAAACCATGCCGGAGATAAATTGATGCATCCGGGAGTTGCCCCAACATCTTCCGAGCCCCGGTTGAACCACTTTTGATTAGTTCGCCAATTGCCATCAGCCCTTACACTTTTTTCGAGGCTTGGAGCGAGCAAATTGGTGGCTTCCCTGATTTCCTTCTGTAGGTTCCATTTGATATTCAATATCCATTGAGTAACAATGTATATTACACACCTGGGTGGTGTCGGTCAGGGCGTCTGGGAGGTACCATGCGATGATGGCACCGGATGCATCGAGAATTGTGGCAGGTTCGTCGACCAACCTTTTGCCTTCATGGCCAGGAGGACACCTCTCAAGCAACCTAGCCTCTCTCTGTTCATTATGCCCGGTGTCCTTCGGGGAGATCAATTTGCTATATCTTGCAATATCCACCTGCATCTGAACTGTCATGCAGGAATTTGAATGATAAAACGAATTTTCCGAATCTGCAGGAAGACCCACTGGGATTTTTATATGCCTTTATGAGTACATCAGCCAAGCGATCGCACGCCATCACCAGATCAGTGTCTAGGTTGGGGGAAGGTATGACTGGGCCTCCTCCAGTCTTCTCTGCCTTGAATTTCTGTTCGGTATATTCCCCTGCTTCATAAGTCACAGTCAGGGCCCAAGTGCGCCAGATGTTTATACTATCAGGAGTGGAAGGGGAAGAACCGTTCATGCTGGATGTTAATCTTGGGAAATCAGACACTGAATGCTGAATGTCCGGACTTTGGTGTTAAAGGGGGTGGAGATAGAGAGGATCAGATAAGGGAGCCTGAGATAATTTTGGCTGTCAAAGATGTATTATTATCCATTGCTCAATGAAATACTACCTGATTGGAAGTGTGCTGGTCATCAGATATTCATTTGTCGACTCCCGGGTCCCGGAACTCGGAAGTCGGTACGGTTGACCCAAATTTGGGTGGTCGGAACTTGGCTTCTTGTAGGGAAACACAAGCCTCGCACCCCGGATTCCAAATTCTGCAAGACAACCTGTGCACCATCAAAGGCCATGTCAGGAGATCACCTGCTGCTCCGGGAACTCGGTAACTTTGATTTATTACCTCCTCTGAGTACGGTTGACTCACATTTTGGTGGTCGGAACTTGGCTTCTCGTAGGGCAACACAAGCTTCGCACCCCGGATTCCACATTCTGCAAGACAACCTACGCACCATCAAAGGCCATGTCAAGAGAGCACCTGCTGCTCTCTTCAGAAACATCTCAACTTCAGGTTGGCCATTTAACACGGAAAGTATTAACTAAATTATGTGTTGAGTTCCGGGTCCCGGAACTCGGAGCTCGGTACAGTTGACTCAAATTCTGGTGGTCGGAACTTGGCTTCTCGTAGGGCAACACAAGCTTCGCACCCCGGATTCCACATTCTGCAAGACAACCTGTGCACCATCAAAGGCCATGTCAGGAGATCACCTGCTGCTCCGGGAACTTGGTAACTTTGATTTATTACCTCCTCTGATTTGGTTGATGTACAACTACCTCAGCTCCATCATGTCTACAATTATGATACACATGGGCCCACCCATCTATATTTTATACCACCCTCGGCCCACCCGTCTAATACAACATCCCATACAACACCCTCGGCCCACCCGTCTAATTAATATGCGTCTGGGCCCACCCGTCTAATACAATATTTTATAATACCCTCGGCCCACCCGTCTAATTTAATATGTGTCTGGGCCCACCCGTGAATGTGATAACAAGTACCTACCCATCTATCTCATACACATCTACCTTAATACACCCATCTGCATAATATCCAACTACCTCGGCCCACCCGTCTACCTAATATTCATGTACATCGGCCCACTCATCTACTCTATATATTCCCTGCATGGGCCCACCCGTCTCCATCGGGAATAATTTGCCTCCCGGCCCATCCGTCATAGTCGAGGATATTTTTATCATGGGCCCATGGTCCGCTGGCCCGTATCATACGGGATATTATGCATGTCCGTTCCCTCGTATTATACGGAGATAGGTCACTGTAATATGTGCGGCGTTTTGGTCTACCTAGATGTAAAGACCGAGAAATATACTGCACGGTATTCGAAGAACAGAGGCGAAGACAAAAATACTTGCTAACTAAACATATCGCCCCTTCGCCCTCCCCCCCTCCCCCGCTAATCACTGTACATCACTATGCCTAAAAAATGGACCACCGACGAGCAAGGGGAATTCTTCAACTCCCATATGGCAGAATTTCGCCTGTGTACTGCAGAAAAAAAATACGAGGAGTTCTTTAAAAAGGTTAATAAACTATTTTTTGAAAGATGGCCAGAGCGAAAGGCTCTCTTCGGCGACTTACTAAATGATGAGTCCCTAACGCCAGACCAAGCCGAGGTCTTGAAAAATGTGTTGGAGGTTCGTAAAAAGGTCAGTGACTACATATTTAAATAATATAAGACAGTACCAACTAATGATTTGATTAAGCAAATTGCCACATGGTATCGGTGGCAAACAAATCCTGCACATCTGGGCCGCACAAGTGGTGTCAAAGGAGTGCTGAAGTTCGATGCCGTGTTATCTGGTGGTGTAGAACTTAAGGGGACCCGTGCACCACAAAAAGTGGATATATACTCACACAAATACTACGAGGCGAAGGTCAAAGGGATGGCAGACACCGAAATCCAACGCGAGAACATGACCAATCGAGGGCCGAAGCTGAACAAACGCTGTGAGGTCACGCGTCGCATGTTCTTGGAAGAAAGTGAAGAGGTCAAGGAAAAGATTGAGAGGAAGTATCGAAAGGCAAGGTCAAGATATATGAAAGCACGCCAACACCAGAAGTCTGGGAAGTTATCAAAGATTGACGAAGCAGCAAAGATCAAGTACGTACTTTCATACTTGATTGATATCCACTGCTCAATCTGAAACAAAACTGTAGAGCCATTCGTGAGCTCGGCCCAATGCTTGATCGCATCTTCAAATACCTTGCATATGCCACTGGTGGGTGGAAATTTTCGGTTCTGATGGGGGGAAATGATCCCAGCACGGGAGAAGTATCTGTGTTTAAGTGAGTATTGTTTGTTGATCGTTTGGAAGCAACGAAGAATAGTGCTTACTAATACTATGAACCAGTTATCATCTTGGGGAACTCGAAAGCGGAGCACAGTTTGATCAGCAATACTCGAACTTTGATGTGATGCAGGGTGCATTTCTAGCCTTTGTCAAGGATGCTCTGGGTGTGTTGTGAGCCATTTTTCCAAATGCATGTACTCACCTTTTTCCAGCATTTGAGGCAACACTACCCCAAGACTCACACAGCGACTCGGAAAGTGAGGAAGATGATGATACATCGTCAGAGTCGTTGGATGATGACTTGGATGGGGAGTGGACAGAGAGTAGTGCTGGTGTGGATGGGGAACAGGAGGATCTTATACTAAACGGTGCCAGATCTGGGAGTCGACTTAATACCGCGGGTTTGTATCGGATGACTCCTCAGTCTGAGTCATCCGCCGAAATTGAAGTGGGCGCAGCGCTAACATCAAGTGATGCATTACTTGGTGCATTACACGTGAATGCATCAGGTCCTCAGGCCAGCGACTCTACTTCATTGGACTATGATTTGAGTGATGCCACCCTCGCCACTGATCTTCAGTCCCCCCATTCACACAGTACTTCATTGGACTCTAATTTGGATGATGCCGACCCCGCCGCATTCGATCACAATGCATTCAACGCCATGATGAATGATCCAAATTTCATCCTCAACGCTCTAGAAACATTTCCCGGCCTTATTGCTCCCCCACTTGGCAGCCAAGCACTTCCTGTACACAATGAACCTGACGCCGGCTGTCGTGTGCCACCTGTGCGATATCCGGAAGTTTTACTGCCTCCGGTTCCTCATGCGGATCTTGGAGATACTGGGCCAGCTACCAACGAGGAAGTACAGACTCAACCTGCAAATAAAACTCGTAGGCGCACGCGACATCTCGCAGCATATGGTCCCTCATCGCCGACCAGTGAAACTCAGTCAGCCACAGTGCCCCTTCGCCGAGCTCGTAAACCCTTCAATCCAAGGGAACGCGACAATGACATTGGTGCGCCAGCAAAGTAAGTTGTTCCTTCCCGCGCTTATATGGTGGTACTGATGTATACTCAATTTTAGGAGACCTCGACGTGCCTGATTCAGTACAAGTTGTAGATAAATGTCTTGTAGATCTTTGTGCTGTTGCTTGATGGTCTTGTTATTTACCAATATAATTTGGGTTGAACGTTTTTTTGACTTCGTGTGCAGGTGCTAAAAAACAACAATGTCATTGAATGATTGAATGTTGGATGTCTCTTAGGCTATGAAATAACGATGTCATTGAATACCATGTCTCTCGTGCTACGAAACAATGACACTGAATAATTGAACGTTGGATGTCTCCACAGTACAACAGTTGAACTCGCTGCAGAAATTGGACTTGTTGAAAATCGGTGTCGAAAATGACATCATGTCACATGTTGACTTCCTTACTAATAATGACCGAGTCAATTTGGGGGAGAATATGACTGAGGTCACTTGAGAAGGCAAAGCGCCTACCAAATAAAACTTAAATAGCCGGATTATAAAGCGAATCCACCTGGATGTAGCATAGGTAAGCAAGGTACACCACAAAAGAAGCAAGGTACCAAGGGGTAGAGGCATGGATGTGGTGTAGGTAAGCAAGGTACAAAATACAGAAGCAAACGGAGCAGGCACGTGTGCCAGAGAGCGGTCGGATCAATCCAAATTAAGTATGGGGAGAGGATGCATGAGTAATGCATCACTCATGCATTACTTTCCCAATTAGGATTGGATAATGCATGACTGGGCTCTAGCAAGGTTAATGCATGACAACTGTCTGCTAGTTAGCCTGTTTTTATGCACAAGAATGACATTATAGCCTGCTACGGTAAGGTAAATCATTTCGGTCATTTATTTGAGAATTTTTGACATTATTGACGTAGATGACTCCAAGCACAGTATTATAAAATGCCAGGCGGCCGTCCCCATAGGCTTTTTCAATTCAAACTTGTTCGTCTCTCCTTCAACTGTTGTTCAAGTTCCCGATCCCTTTCTACCTCTCTACCGTGACGCGGCGGTGGGTATGTCGGCATCCGAGAACAACTCAGGCAGTCCTCCTCTGGCCCAGGAGGCTTTGGACTCCCTGCATGTCCCAACTTCTCCTCAGGCTCGGGCAAAGCGACAAATAGCTACCCTGATGGAGGAGGTCGAACTTTTGAAGCAAGACAAGGTGACTAAGCAGAGGTATGCACTTGGTCAAACTCTCAGCGAGGCGGTTTTGATGTCTCATTATAGGAAAGCCACCTATTATGTTTCGCAGGGTCGAGCCATCCATTGTCTTGTCGCCCTATACACTCCCATAGAGGATTTAATCGCCAAAAACGACTGACGTTGTGAATACCACGACAAAGCTATCAGCCCTGAGTCCACTATGGAGTAAGTACCTATCTTTGTTTTGTTGTACATTGTTTCGAATGCAGTGATAGGCAAGACCGCATTCAACGGGGTTACATTGAACTTGCTAAGGCATTACCGTGGATTCACGACAAGTTAGCAAGTCTTGATCACGAGGAGTCCGAAGACATGCTTAAAAAGGTTTTTTTTTTCACAAACATCTTTTCTCGCTTCTTCCTCATTCCTTTGTAGATCAGGCGGGGTGCAGACTCCGCTCGTGGCGATGATACAGGCACTCTCAAAGAACTCGTGGCCTTGTGGTTGAACATTGAGTTCTGTCCGACTCCGTTCATCTCAGCTGGTGACAAGCATCGTCGAGGTTTTGTAAGTGACACATGTGGTAAGCTGTTGTGCCCGGCAGAATGGCACTGGGAGGATCCAATGTACGTGTAGTTCTGATGGTCTTTGTTACTCGCATGTCACTGATGTGCAGTCCAGTGTCAGGGCTGGTATTCAGGATCGTACGACTGCTTTTATCGTCTCCAAAAACTCCTGGCCTCTGTTCATGTATCAAAACAGTGTAGCCGACCCCGCTAATCTAGAGTGCGGTCTCATGAGGTCGAAGTTATTAGTGATGGTGAGCATTGATTTTTGTAACTGGCTCGTGCTTCATTACATCACAGGGCTTCAAGGCTATATTTACCTCCCCCTCTTCTGCCAATGAGGTAGACGGCGACGGTGAAGGTGCCGATATCATAGAGAACAATCGACACGCCCGGAGACAGTCAGATCAAACCAAAGTAAAGACATGTGTTGCCTCTATCATAGGCATGAGGAAGGTGACTCCTCGCGCAATCGCGTATGCAGCTTGCCAAGTAAGCATTGATGCTTGCCTCTAGCTTTGAAATTGATTTTGAGTTTTGCAGATCCGATTTGCTCTTTCCAGCATCACCTCGTGGCGCACCATAGATGGAGATTTCGACTACCAGATGTTTTGGAACAATATTGTAGATTTCTTCGAAGATCCCCCAGGTCCAGCTGCGCGAGGTAGGGTCAATGATACTCTCAAATGGTGGACTAGGTAAGCATCTGTTCATCAATGACTAGCCTGGGCTGGTAGCTAAACTTCCTGTACAGAAAAGTTTTTGGCACAAACCACCGGCAGGACTTAACATCGGAAGTTGTTTCCCGAATGTCTGTCAGTGCGCTTGCTAGCCAAAGACTGGCTATGGAGGACGCTGTGTTTGACTCCGACTCTTGATGCTTTCATTACTGTGTCTTAGTACCTTCAATAATGTACTCTCTAATGCCTATTTTATCGTGTTGCTTCCATGTCTGCCATGGTGACTGAGTTGCTCAGGCCGTTGTAGGGATTCATTTCTGGCTGGGCTTGTAGAGACTGTTTTTACCTTATCTTATGTTGGCACTTTTGTAGCTTACATAAGCAAGTTACCTTTTCACCAGTTCTAATATGAGTCTGAGTATTCAGCAAGATTTCATGATATTTCCTCTCCTCTGAGCCTTGAGCCTGGTCCAGAAACCCTTTAGGGTCAAATAGCAGCTAGGTTCTGCAAGACCCAACATTGTTCCGACTCACTCTCTGAATTGTTCCGACTCACTCTCTGAATTGTTGTACCTTCACCGTATCAGTTGAATTCATATGTAACAACCATTAAATAGATTTATTAAATGATACTCTTATATTTGCCCTGCGATTTTCTGATTCAAATAGACATAATTACTATACTGCGTACAACAAGGAAAATATACCGGTTTTCCGATGGACAGATAATAATTATACTGCTGCGTACAACAAGAAAAAAATACCAGTTTTGTGAAATATGGAATATAATAAGGAGACTTGTCAACGAGGTGCTTTTGCTGTTATAAGACCATATATCCTTTCTATTGAATGACGCACAAGAGTGCGCAACATTGGCGATTTTAGAAATTCCATTTCGTGTTACAGACAACTGGTTATATTGAAAGAAATGTCAGGTCCTATTCACCACGTCACCTAAGACTTGTTTGATAATTTTCTATGTTGGGATGACTGATCCCACAACAGCGTCCGATATTGGTGAGTTAAGAACCTCTATTTATGTTGCAGACAACTGGATTATCAAACAAACCGATGATACATTCGCCATTTCACATCAAACTTATACTTGATCATTTTCCATACAGGGGATTAGATTTGCCAGTGAACGAAAACGTAGGATGGTCATGTAGCCGATGGTGCAAAGTCATAATTTGTCCATTCCATATAATCATGTGTTATGAGACTAATGCCTCACAGTCCGAAAACCAATCCTCAAAGTTCAAAGAACGCTGCAACTTGTTGAACCCTCTAATGTAGAATGCTAACTATTCATCCAAAAAAGTATTGTCAATAGCATGCCATCAAATATTCCAGAGCTCGGATATGCAGTTAGGCAGCACTGATATCTTTTGTTCTCGTATCTCCAAAACAGTTGTCTTCCCTGGCTGATGGGATATTAATGATCTTGATTCAGGAAAACGACCTCGCTTTTAATGCAGAAACAAAAGAACAGTGCAGAAAACTGGACCTTCAATTATTTTCGGAATAGGATTAGAGCATGCTTAATGAGTAGGCTCACGTTGCCTTAAGTTACCTGTGAGGCAGCTTGGTCCTCTACAAAATCTTCATAGGTTTCGGACCACAGGGCCAACAGGGAGTGAAGTGTTAAATATGCCAAAGATGGCACGATATTACAATGTAGCACTGCCACTGTGCATGGCGGCAGTGCTGTGCCAAAATTCTGATCATCTACACACATCGTCCCTACTGCTGAATCTTTGAACGTGATCAATATTCTAGAATGCTCTTCAAGACCAGAGTGGTGGTATGATGTACGATTGTATTCCAAAGGATTTCCACCTGACAACTTGCGCTCGTCAGTGATAGTCTAGTATATCTGTACATCAAGGAGTAATTTATACTGCAGTAACACTGGTGGTATTGCTTGTCACCCCCACGTACTATACTACTCTGAGTGAGGGTCAGCAAAGGTGATAGTCATCATCCACTGGCAGTAATGTACTTCTCGAAGACCAAACAGTATGAATCCACATCACTATTGAAGTTTCGATCCGCACTTAACTTCACAAACCTGTGTGCATTAATTTTTTCGTCGATCCATTCAAGTGCAAAAGCTCGCGAAGCAAATAGTGCTACTGTGCTACTGTGCTTGCAAATTCGTCTTTCCTCGACAATGTCAAATATTCCCATCTAAAAGCGGTCAGCAGATTTACGAACATTGTTGTGATGCTCTACAATATATTACTTTAAATACCATTCTCATTTGTTCACCGGTTCACTGATGTTAGGGTAGATCGTAGGTGGCGATCTGCTGGCATTGTAGATGTCACCTGTTCAAAATGAAATTTCAGGTAGATAAATTATCACTACATTGTCATGAAGATCATTACTCGGCGCATAAAAGCAAGGCGTCTTGCTACTCTCACCTTCAGATTGATTTGATCCCATACCACATCCTCACAAAAAATGTGTCTCTCCTTTGTCCTCGCCACTGTTGTTGCTTTGACCGCGTCAATATCTGTCGACGGTGCTGACAGTGAGAACTGTCCTTATTTCTGCAGACATACCAGAGAATGCAGAGAGTGCAAATTTGCAAACCAGTGCATGAGTATGAGTGGGTTGTGTCCTGGATCTATCCACATAACTCACCGACATGGTAGATCCTCTTTGTATGTGACAGCTGGTGAACAGGTAGCTAGATGATATGCAGATCGTACAGAGCCAGTTTTATATGGGCTTGCTTCACGAACTAGAATTGGGAAGGGAGGGGACGGGATACTTACCATAGATAAATCTGGATGTGATGTAGACAGGCTGTCGAGTCACCATGCAATTTCATCAAATGGGCTTTGAAAGAGCGGGACGCGGCCCTGGGACCTGGTACTTATTTCAAGTTGAAGCATTGCAACACAGTGGCACACAGTGCGAATGGCAGAATTGGACTATGAAAAGCCGCATTGATCAGTAACGATTCATATAAGACGTGCGCACCATGCACGGTAGCGTGTATGTTCTATCTGTGTTCCTATCGCCTTCTCCCATTGCTGAGCAGAATGCAAAGGAAGCTATTTGACGCGGCATGCATGTGACGCAGGTGTGACAAGCGATCCTAGAATATTCCTACTCCGGTTCTGCAAGACTTTCCAGATCACACAGAATTCATGACCATTCCTTCGTTATGCATCGTAGGGATACAAACTAAACTAGCTACTAGCATCTGACATATATTACAATGATTCTTTTCTTTTTCTCCCTCTCTGGACCCTCTGCGAAGCACATCACTTTAACAAGCTTCATAATTAGGTAAACTACTAGCAGTGATGTGAAATTCGAACTGTTTGTTTTCAAAATAGACGTCACGGAGTTCACATTGTGCCAAACAACCAACAGTCCTCTTCGCCTCAGTGTGAATGAGTGCACACTGCACAATTGTCTTACTAGTATCGAAGTACCAAACTGGTTATTTCCCATCGAGAATGCGTACAGCCCGAGCAACATGATTGCCGACGAGTGGCTCCCTCCTCAAACACCCTCGCCAATTCAATCATACAACACCTGTAGCACCGTCATACAATCCGAGTCCCATCTATGGTTTTCAGCAGTGGTCCCAGCCCACCCACGCAGGAAATGGCAGCACTTACTACTCTGTGGACCCATTCCGCTCCCCATGGACCGTACTTCTTGCTACTGGTACGTTTCTCAGCTTGCAATGCAAGTGCAGCAATTGCGAGGCCAATGAATTCGTCTGAAAACTGACTAACATCCAAAACTTCAAGCTCAAAATCCATATGTGCATGAAGGGAGGAACTTCGAATTCACGACAGAGGCGCGTCATACTAGACTTGAGTGAAGACTAAGGGCAGCGGCACGAACTCGGCATGTTTTCCATTTCAAACTCCGACTTAGAGGGCGGACGAACTCAGTTTGTTCCTCGGACGCTGTTAGTTTGACAGCCTCGTGAGAATTCGTACATGGAATGAACGAAATAAACTGCAAATCACCTCCGCCATACCGAGTGCTTGCAGGGCACAAAGGCACGCGATCTTTTGGTGTTGATATCGTTGTCCATGGGGGCAATGTGCAACCATTTGCAAGGCACAAAGGCACGCAATATCTTGGTGTTAATATCATTGTACACGGGACAACGTGCAACGGATGTTCATCACGGTTTGTCTATAACGGGAGACCAATCAGTTGGACCTGCAGGGAGTCAACTCATCACCGAGGGACCGATCGTTGATCTGATCCGGGCCAATCTGCCCGACCCGGTTGTTCTGGCGATACATAGTGAGTACGACTCATCTAACAAAATGACTGGGTAGATTGCAATGATGAAATGCGGTGGCCTTACGGCAAGTGCAACGGTTCAACAGCAACTAGGCCGGAACGCCTTGACAGTATTGATACCTAATGCAACCGCTCGGCGATGGCATGCACAAGGCGTCCTTGTTCCAGGTATGGTGACCTTGACTGCGTGCTACTAACCGAGGATTCTCAGAATCAAACCACGCGGTTTGATGGTACTGGCCTCCTCGCAGAGTAGCACGCTGTCAGTGGCGACTTTGACGCGGTTCCTCTTGAGTTCTTAATATAGGCTGCACGTCATGATTGTTCTCGCGAACACGCACATCTGTTATGTAAATTCCACGTTCTTCCATTGCGGTTACAGGACCTTATTGAATACAGGCTAATCCAGGCCGCTTAGCAATGGCATATTTGTTTGATGTATTGAGTGATCCAACTATTTATGTCAATATTATTGTCGGCTCCATCGATATTATCATTTCCCACTCAACAAGAATTTCCATCAGGTTAGCCCTTCGGACCTCTTCGTCATCATATCTGAAGATATGGAATGCGTGGCTAACTTGATGGGTTAGAAAATGACGGACCGCGCTAGGTGCGACTCGGCGATTCTCGCCCTAACCCGCATGGACACAAGTTTGAGCATGAAAGAATATTAATCTCATCAAAGTACTGTTCGGATTAGCGACACGCAGGTGATGCTGTTACAACGCTTTGCGAATTAGCGTGATCGACTCTAAATTTCTTGTGACGTTTCAACTGGCACCTGTCATAATCGTGGATCATGATCACCGTTGATTAGTAAAATGGCGGAAGAAATAACAATATTTGCAGTCACCACACCAGCTAGCGTTTGATCCTAGTCACTGTACCAGTCCATTACAGGAAAACCATAACCATAAGCGACCACTGCACGAGGTAACAAAAACGCAACAAAACAATAACGTAGGCTATGCCTTGTGAAGGTGAAAAAAGTCCAAAGCCGCGGACAAGCGACTTATATGCGTATCAAACAGAAAAACGAGTGGAACGTGTGTAGGCATGGAACCAAACACCAAGCGCGGGTGATTGTTTCACCAGTTGACTGATGGTTGCAGGGGTAAGCACATGGATACAAGGGCATCAGGAAACAAACGTACAGGGCGAGCAACCAATATTTACGAGGCCATTGTAAGAATTGTCCTCACAGCAAACAGGTTGTTGGTTGCTGGTGGTTACGAGGAACGTTAATTCTAGCACGATGAAACGCGCACCGTAAGAACTTACCAGTTAGCGCCCTTGCCACCCCCGAAACCACTGATGGGGGAGCAGTTTTGACCACAAGGGGTATTATGAGGGACGTCAATGCTCATGAGAGACAACAAGTCGTCGAGGGAGGAGCCATAGCCAGACTTTGTAACAGAATCGCAACACTGGGTAGAGCCAGTGTTGCACTGGCCACCACCTCCGGAGGGGGTGGTGCGTTTGGCGCCTTCAGAAATAATCAGAGCGCGTCAAGTTACAGGAAAAATAATATGCTTACCCTCAACGGGCGTGGCGCGACGAGCGGGGGCCATAGGGGGAAGACCGCGCGCCATTCTTTCAGCATTGGTCTCCGCGCTTACGACAGTAGCGGCCACGGCAAGAGCAAGGACAGACGCGAACCTCATTATGTTCTTTGTGTCTTTGGGGGATCTAAACAAGACAAGGAAACTTAAAGAAAGTTGAGGAAGGACAGGACGGTTTGAGAATAAGAGAGTTTTATAGGGAGTGAAGGCAAATTACATTATATATGAAAAGAACCATCGGCCGGTCACCAGCGGTTACCAAATTCAGCACTACCAGATTCGATCACCTCTCTAGGATAACTTTTACTCATCAGAGTTTTTCATGAGATCCCAATTGTGCACAATTGCAATATGTATGTATAACAACAAAACCTGTGATGAATGCAAGGATCATGCAAACCCTGCACAGCACTGTTTTATCCGACGATGATATCCAGTAAATATATCATCTTTATTCGAATAATTACCCGATAAATTGCCTGGACCCGTTCTATCTCCTTTCAAGTTTTCAGGGACTCTCTGACTTGTGCCGTAAAGAGCCCACTAAGATAGTTTCCTCCTTAGTGCTCAAATGACGCCCATGCAGGGAATGAAGGGGAGTCCAAGGATGCCGTTGACTCTGTCTGATGTCACTATCCCTGGCCAGCGTAAGTCCGTAGCGCACTTGCGCCGAACTCATCATGTAATATCGACCGGGGGCGGCTATTCGGCAATCTATGATTCTTATAACTCATGGAGGATGTGGCAGATACATAGAAGCTTCTCTACAGCATGCACATCACACACGTTTCTGATCTGGCCAGGTCAATCTGATTCTAGCTGGGGTGAATGATCAAGTGCCCGTCGGGTTGTCAGGAGCAACTTCACGTCTGACCCGGGTCACGGGATTCCTGAGGTCTCCGTTCATGTCGCAGTACTATAATAATACTGGACCTTACAGGCTACTACTTCCCTTAACGATGGATTCATCAATCACAAAGCAGGGGTCTTCGGGTTCTAAGTACCTTGCCCTGCCGCGTTCATGGTTCTTGGCCTTGAGGTAACATCATTACCAACATGGTTTGACCATAGGCGGCCCTCCGAAACGGACCCTTCCTCACCAAAACTAAGGCAAAGCGCCGTAGTGGACGAGATGAAGGGGGAGGGCACGTACCGTGAAGACGTGAAGTCCAATTGCCCGTCCTATAGTTATCTCCAGTCGGTATTGGTGCACGGTGTCCCGCACGAGTCACGACGCTTGGCGTCCCTTTGTCAGCGCTTCAGCCATCGATTCCCTTTGCAGTTCACAGCCTTCCATCAGCATCTATCGTCAGGTTCAAATATAATCACATAATAAGCCACTATCTGTTTTTTCCCTGGGGCCCTTGTGCGAGTTATGGGCGCTGCAACTAATGGTCAGGAGTAAACATTGACAGTTCCGGTACGTACTAGCTGCTGATTCACCAAGATAGCAAGATGCCGGCACCAGGTCAGGGTCGTGGTCGTCATGTTTGTATACAGGGCGCGTCAACGGGGTTGGCGGGGAAAATGAAAGAAGTCGTGGAACAGAGGACACGTAACGTTTCTTCGATCAAGTGCCGCGGCTTGACGCTGACTCCACATGCAGATCACATCGCGCGACGTTCAAAGGTGGACGCTTGTCTCTGGTTGACGAGTAGCACATTAAATTACGCCCGTCGTGACTTCTTTGAGGGCCTCGAAGACTGTTGTTCTCTTCCCTTCACGAAACACTTCTACGGGTAGTACTTACTCCTCGAGGATGGTGTATCTTTTAGTTAATATAAAATGAGCCAACGAGCAGCGAGGAGCGAATACGCCCTGACGTCGATTGCAGCGACGTAATGTTTCTCGGTTGCCACGAAAGACTTCTACAAGCCTCGAGGACGGTATTATCTCATCAATTCACTTTCCGATATGAAACGGGCAAGTAATTCCAGACCTCAGATCGTACGTCCTCGATTCGATCGTAGGTTAGTCTCTTCGCCGAGCGATGAAACATTCTTACAAGTACAAGAAATGTACTCATGAAAGGGCGATGGTGCACCATATTTGCTGGTTGAGGGAGATGAGCATCGGCATTGCGGAACCGAACTAAGTCAGCGATAGGAGATACCCAGTCAGGCTGCCTGCTCCAAAGCCCCGAGTGCATGACGATTAGGAAAACCGCATGGTAGTGGGAAATGATTGTGTAGAGAAGACCGCACGGGGCCCGCATTCCGTCATTTCATCTGACACCTCTCGGCGATTGTTTGAAGGGTCGAGATAGTCAAGGTACAATTTTGGAAACCAGCCAGGGCACACCATGGAGGCAGTAGGACATTTGATTTATATCTGAGAATACTAGACTGGCCCCTGTGCCTAGGTTATGGCGTCACAATGGTTGATGATGATAGGAAATAACCGATTATGAAGGGAGGTAAATTACAGATTGTGCGAAATGCATGCAATTGATAACGATTTAGCTGCGAGTGTCAGGAGGTGTCAGGTCGATTGTCCTGCGGGAGCGAAGGATCCGTAAAACTGTGGTTACACTTGGTACACACGAAGAACAGAATCATGCGGGTTTCCTTCCGTTTTGACTGATCCTGGTAGAAAACGGCGCTAGAGTGGAGTAGGAGGTGTGGTTAGCAAGAGTAAGCTGTATCGTATTGACATCGCGTACTCGTCTTGGCCACAATGCGGACATGTAATATTTGAGTGCGCCTGATATCAGAATTAGATAGGGTAATGTAAGATGACGCGGAGCGGTGACGAACCAATGTGGGATCCGATCCCAGGTCGGTAGTAATTCCCACCTGTTCTCTGTTTGATTTAAAGGTCAGTAAGATGGCACAAAAATACTTCAGCTTCAAGCACTTACTTGGTGACTGTTAGTAAATCATTCCTGTAGACACACTTGTTCTCGCCGATCTCCTCTTCGCTACATATTCGACAAGCGTAAACCATGATGCGACGCCCAGTGTCAGCCTTTGGGTAAAGCAAATTATTGCACTCTGAGCAGAAGTGGAGTGATGCCTGAATGTGGCAAGGACGACCAGAGTATGAGAACGGTTACATAAATATGGCACAGATATATGGGGACGGATAGAAGTATTTAGCAGTGAACTGCAACACAAGAGATTGAAAGACAGACCATCGCAAGGGTGTTGAAGGTATCGGCCTGAGTACAAGATGGATTTCAATCTCCGACAGCGTGTCGTGCCCACTCTGATCCATCCAAAAGCACTCGACATTCAAGTCCAAGTGCAATACTTGGCAAACTGTTTATGATCTGTTAGGTGCTCAACAAGTCCTTCACGAGCTTTGATTATTGAAACGTGGTGTTAGCAACACGTACGTTCAGATGGATATATGTGGGTCTATGGACGTTACGGATATGCTTTGCGCTTCTTGGAACTGGGTACATTCACCCAGATGAACACATGCAAAATGGAGAAGTGACCTCCGGTGAGTCTGAGCCTCGTGTTTCTCCTGCCACTCTAATCCCAGAATCTAAATCTTTAAGGTGATCTCATGCCTTACCATACCATCCGTACTTGGGAATGGTCCGCTGTACTTCCCGTTCGTTCCATAGTACCGGCATTTGCGACAACTGGAATCCCTGTCTGGTTTGCTAAGGTCCTCAGCAGTGAGAAATTTTATGCTAGAACTGTCATACATGTCTTACACGGCCTGTTTAGAGAAACACTTGATACAGGGAGTGCATCCAATACTACTCTTTCGACTAGAACGGTCCGCCTTCTTGTTCTTATCTGGGCTGATCGGTAAATCTTTGTAATGCATCTCTGCAGCTTATGAAACTCAAAGCATTATTAGATTACAGCTTGATGAGTTTGGTGCCGACGCCGAGTGCCCGACGCCTTGGTCTTCTGCTTCTGGCGTCGTCTCATGTCATGAACACGTTCCAGGTTCGACCCTTCTCGAATTCTATCGAGGCAGTCCTTGTTTCTTTGAGTCTGTTGTTCTTGCGCAAGATACGTTCGGTTAAGATGCTGGATAAGGTCCGGTTTGGCTATTCCCGACTTCTCGAGGATCTCGATTCTAATCTACTGGCAGAGTTATTATGTCCACTTGCTAGCCATAACCTTTGTGACTGGTATATTCACTCGCCCAACCTTCTTGATATTCGGGGCGCCCATCGCATTTCAGGTCGCACTTGGAACGTTTATACATGCCGGAACTGTGACCAGGTGGCTGCGGCTTGTCGTCCCGCCGTTATTCACTGCAGCAGGGACATGTACCGTATTTTTGGTGGTGGACACCCTCTATTTTCGAGGTACCCTCGACGACATCGTGGTGACACCTTTTAATTTTCTCATGTATAATTTCGCGTCCCAAAATCTGGCAGAACATGGACTTCATCCACGCTGGCTCCACGTTTTCGTGAACCTTCCCATGTTGTTCGGCCCCTGGATTACTTGGCTAGTAGTGCGCGCGATTGTGGACAGCGCCACATTGTTTAATAAGAAAAATGACAAATCATTCGAAGCCGACGTTCTTCGCCCGAGTAAGGGCTTGTATATTGACAGTGCTCGCAACCACTCACATTTTCTCCACTCGCAGCAATCATACAAATGATCATTTTGTCATTGTCTGTCCTATCTGTGCAACCTCACCAAGAACCCCGCTTCTTGGTGCCTCTTTTGTTGCCTATTATTGTCTTGATAGCAAACACCGGACAATTGACCCATGTTGGCAAAACATTCTGGGTATGTTAACATATTGAAGTCAGCCAGAGGCTGCTGACGACTTTGTAGGTATCCTGCTCCATCTTCAACTTCGTGCTCGCGATTTTATTTGGAATTCTACATCAAGGGGGCGTAGTACCTTCCCTATTCCACCTCCATCCCTTGGTTGCTAATGCTTCCCTCGGCACGCGGACAAACATAATCTACTGGAAGACGTACATGCCGCCGCTCCACCTCCTTGGCGTTAACGAACGAGGTTGTTCCCATTTCCTCGATACAAGCAGGTTCACCTGACATAGTATCACTCAGATGTTGCAACTGGCTTAGTTTCTTTCGTTGATCTCGCCGGGGCGTCCCAAGATGACTTTGCTGCATCCCTCAGTGCTGATGATTACGACAGAACATTTCTTGTGACTCCCGTGGCCATGCGATACACGCTACCCCCTGCAATCACGGGCTGTATGGAACTAAACCAGACCATTTTTCCGCATCTCGATCTTGACCACATTTCGGAGAGCATAGATGCAGGCGTACTTGACGGCCTTCGTTTAGGGGTGTATACCTTGTCACGTAACTGTGTCTTTGTTTGAACCTCTCATTGACTTTAGCGAATTGAGCGGTAATGCTGAGAGAACTGGCCGTTGGTTTCCACCTCTTATAACCATTCGGCACCATCTAAACATTATTTTCTTTGCGATTTGTCAACCGGTGAGCCTGAACACCGTGCGCCATAGTGTGATAGAATAAATCGATCACGTCGCAATCTGAGACTACAATATCAGAGTGCTGACTCGGCTACTACTGACAGATGTGGCGGTCTGAAAGTCTCCCGCTCTCAAATTGCAATGTGCAGTAGCTGCAAGGGCTACCATAGTCTCCACCCTTCGTGGTTCCCCAATATCTGCAACACGGGAAGATGAACTCCATCAAAAACTTGCACCGATCATCATGAAGAAGCCAGGAGACATGGAGGTAAGGGAGCGTGGTTGAATGACCTTTACTGCTAGAGTGTGGTGCGAATGCATCGTCTCCAGATGCGAGAAATGGAGCGACGATCTTGGAAAAGGGCTCTGGAGGTGGAGATGACGTAGACTGGGAAAAGGTCAGTCCACAGAAATTTGGCGCATTGAGTTTTGGGATAGTTGACTGGCAACATTCAAAAGTCCTCAGTTATGGTGTATTTAACTTATCCCATTCATATACACTTGACACACCAACTGCCGTTTTCTAGCGCCTCCTCGGAAAAAAGATCTTGATCAGGCGAGGATCAGCCTGTGCGAAACACAACATTTATCGCAGCATCCCATTTTAAAACGGCTGCGGTGGGAAGAGCGATCAATGCGGATGAAGAGGTCTACTGCCAGCCAAACCCGCAAAAGAGACAGAAGGAACGACTTGAGTGCTTCGGCGAGTTGTCTGGGAAGCAAAATATTGATGCGGGACCAGATACTTGTTATTGAGCTGGCAACAACTCCCCATTGTCGGCACGCCCGGGTGAAGAGTATGTATGTGTCGGAAACAAATATTGGCTGAAATGGTGATTCGTGTCACTGAAAAGATGCCGGAACATTCTTAAAAACGATGAGATACTTCCTGTAGAAGTTATAGGGGAAGCCTCTGAATGGAGTTGGGTTCAGGGTGGTTCAAGTTGCCATGTGAAGAAGGCATCGTTCTATGCACGTGCGGGAGTTTTCATGTCGCCGAATAGCTAGTACTGGACGTTTTTGATATTAAGAAGGGCTTGACATAGTCGCCGAAGGCAGATGCGGTCTCACAACACGTGACTATGCATGTGCTAAATTTACAAAGTCCGCGCGCCGCGACCGCGACTCCGTCCGCCGGGGGCCCAGAGTCTTTGGCTAAGACTGCCTAGTCCGCGTTGTGATTTTCCTTAAATTCATAAAATGATATATGACATAGCTTCGGCAAGACGTCGACACGGTCGTTATTTTGTTCACGCCCGAACTAATGGCCTGGGGTTAGCAATCAGGATTTGTCATTCAATCGTATCCTTCTTGGCCAGTCGAAGCCTTCATGTTCATGGTCAAACATCGGGACTCTCGGAGGTTAACACTGGGTTGATGATTATTTTCAAGCCAGAGCTGCGACACGTGTGGTATGCACATTGTGATCGAATGTTTATCTTCTGCGCTAATTTCAAGTTTGCTTCTGAGAACTTGAATGCCGTGACATCTTCCAACGATGTATTGGTCACCGGCCACTCGGTTCTATGTGCGCATGCCCCACTGAGGCTGCATGCTACATGTTCAATGAAAAGCACGCGGATCAAGCATGCTTCGTCGTAACGTGGTGCGCAGTCTACCACAGCTCGAAGATATAAGTAAGACGCTCGACTACTCCTACTTCAAGTCAACCAGCCCGACCACACAAAACATCAGCATGAGCTGGAGAAGTCTCGACAGTACCCCAGAACTCTCTCACCCAGTATTGGCAGTCCCGTATCGTGTTCCGTCATCGGAAGGCTTTGCCTCTCGTGCGATGAGCCCTCTCTCAGCCTCGGCCTCTCAACTATCGTTTGGCTCACCTATTTCCCGGTCTTCACGGTCGCCATCGGGGAACATAAGACTTCCTGGACTCCTCGGCCAGTCATCCGTTGTCGCAAGCCCGGTCGAGTCCGTAAGAAGCATTGCCTCATTCTTTACAAAGCTGCGGCCTGGTTCTCCGCCGAGACACTCCGAGTTTTATTTGCAGGACGAATTATCTGTCTTCCTGGTAGGTAGTCCAAATCTCTACATTCCTGAATTTTCACATTAAAGAACATTGTGATTCAATAGGTAGACGGGGTGTTATTCCGTGTGCATCGCTTTTTTTTGCAGCGCGAGTCGGATGTGTTTCGCACTATGTTTGTGTGTCCTCCGACCCAGGACGGCCCTGAAGGACTCACTGACGACAAGCCCATCGTCCTGCCTGAAGTTACAGTCGCTGAGTTTGAGGCTTTGCTCAAGTTCCTATACGATGGGTATGCCTCTCACACATCACCGTACCTCGTATCACTAACTACCTCTCAGGGGTAACTCACCATCTCCTTTCTCAACAGCAGATGAATGGATCAGACTGCTGTCGATTGCAACCCGCTATGCAATGGAGCGTATCCGTGCGAGAGCGTTGCATGAACTAGAGTGCCTCCCACCGCTCGATCCCATCCAGAAGATTGCCCTGGCGCGGAAGCACGACGTACGGGAGTGGCTGTTGCCCTCTTACGTAGCGCTTTGTTTAAGGCGAGAGCCTTTGAATGTGCTCGAGGCAATAGAACTTGGGCTGGAGACCATGGTGCTCATAGCGATTGGCAGGGAAACCGTGAGGGACCCTGGTACTCTGAGAGATTTCGAAGACTTAAGGCAGCCACTGGGATATGAAGAATTTATGACAGCAATCGTTGCTAACATATTTGGAGATGGGGAGCTCTCGGGTGCTTGAAATACGTAACGTGGAGTGTGCAGTATGGCAAAGATCCGAGGGGAGTGTGTTTGACATAATACAATTTAACAGCGACAATACAATTTGTACAATTACAGGAACAAGCGTGTTATGTATGTTGTTTTGCGGTAATTTTGACGTAAATCGTCAACATGTTGAGCAGACAGTTTCGCATCCGCTTCATGCTGACCTTATGCTGGCAGTCTGACACAAAAATGTTGGGTCCTCTGTCTGGCGTCAAAAAAACGAACGTACCTCCGCACTGCCAGTAATGGAGACAGGAGGCGACCTGGTGGGTGGAGATGTGGACGCAGCGGAAGAAGTGCGCGCAATCATAGACAAATCGAGGTCTGATAGACAAGATAACAATTAGCTGTTGCGTGTGTCACATTCCATACAGTGACCGACCTTGTGCCTTGAGTGCGTTCTTCCTGATCTGCCTAGCACTCTCCCTTTCTTCCTCCGTGAAGGAGTTGATCCGTTTCTCGAGTTTGGGCTTCTCGTGAACGGCTGGAGCACCGTGATGAGCGTGGAGCATGACAGTGCATTCATTACGTACAATTGTTGCGTTGCTGGCCTGTGGTATCTTCCTCGAACTCTTCCTCCTCGTCTGCAAGTGCGGCGGCCTCGAGGTAGCGTTCATCGTTGATACTACCCCAATTGTGTTGGCCACTGCCATTCTTTCGAACGGACTTGTCGAGGCCGGACTTGGACTCAGAGCGATCCCGCAATAAGGCACGAGGAAAGCCAGCGCGTTCTGTGCGAGTCATGATGAGTTTTTGTAGTGATGAGGTCTGTTGGGGATCAAAGTGGTCGTGTGTTGGGAAAATAAAATTGGATGTAAGAAGTCGGAAGACGTAGTAGTCTGCTTTTATAACCTGCAGTGCTTTGCCTCACGCCACCTGTGACTATAACTTACAAAGGTAAAGATTCGAGACAAATCTACGATCGACGAGGCTCGTGACCGGAACAACGACTTTTTGTTAGTTTTTGTTCCATCTAGGGCACGTCAATCAAATGGTTGTACCTTTCTTGTTTCACTACGGTGCTGCGGCCGTTCGGACTAACCCAATTGTTTCTGACAGACTCTAATGTCGTCTGATGCTCACTGAGGCTCTGGACAGGCTGCCCATCCCCAGTTCCAAAGAAAGAATTTTGCGGGGAAACGTGAGAATATCATTAACACGCACGTGGTCACATCAGTCACATGGCTCCACGGTAGCAGAGCTTTAATCACACCTTTGTACTTACAATAACCCTTTGACAACAGGTGAAGATTTCTTTAGGAAGTGAAGTCGTCTAGACCACCCACCTATGAATGGGATAATGGAAGCCGCAATTCAATCCCTTCTGCGATCATCTGAGAATCTCAAGGCGGCACTCGAAGTCGAGGTCACACAACTTCAAGAACGCGGTGACCTTTCAAGTTCTTCTACAGATGACCGATCCAGACGCATTCTGGCCGTTGTATCGCACAGAAGGGACTACGTGGGAGATGAAGAAGGCAGGTGTGTAACTTGCTTCCTGTGTCAATGGTTCTCGCGCAGGATCTGTTGTTTTCGTGCCAGAAGCGGAATACGTCAGGGTCGTTTTCTTGCCGTACAGATGCTTCTACTGAGCTCCGCTCGTTCAACTTTGTGCTGACTCTGAGAAGTGTTCTGATTTTTAAGCGCACGCCGGGTCGCTCTATCGAGGACTTGAGTGTTGAAGTTGCGTATCCGATCTCTGGAAGTTTTTCGTTCTCTGTTGCACAAGCAAGGCGAAAAACTTTAGACCTTCGCGCATCCGGGGGAGAAACTGCTGCTACGCTGGGTCAGTCGAGATCAGGTATGTAAATGCGGCCCATTCAATAAGTCGCATTCTCATCGCATTGACAGAACTTACTTTGACTATCAAGTATGAGCTGGCTACTGAAATACGAAGCCATACTTTGATCGCACGAGATACGCGGAAATTGCAGTCCTTCACCGCAGAATGCAGACGTTTGAAGGACATGTTCAGTCAGCTGTCCTTCTTTTACGTCCCCTATATTGACTTACCAGTGTATCTACTAATTGTAGCTAGACATGAATTCGATGCTGATTTCTCTTGGCTATCACTTTACACGCAAGAGAGCTCTTTGAAATGTACGATACCTCCGATCACGTAAATGTAAATACACGAGCTGACTTGATACTAGCCTTTTCATCTCCTATAGATTTGCGCATGGTCAATTTACCGTTGCATACGCGACTTTCGCCGGCAAGTGCGGGTCTTCCAGGAGACGATGCAGACGATATCAGCATTGTTCGCGAAAATTGGATCTATAACAAAGCTATTGAAGAAGCTTTCACTGGGTCATCGGCGCGCCTGCTGTATGCTCGCTAATACTGCTCTTGAAATATTTTAACGGGCAACTTCGCTCATGAACAGCATCCGCACAGGGACATTCAATGTCAATGGAAAAATGCCGTCGCAGGACCTATCGCCCTGGCTCAGACCAACAAAGCGGAACTCAGAGATATCTGGATGGATCTCACCTTTGAAAGCCATACCACCACTCGACATACTTCCAAACCCAGTTGATGAACGTCAGTGACGTTTTGTCACCATGTCAATTTGTCATTGATTGCACCCCACTCCTTGATTTAGAGATGACCACCAGCCTAGGAGCTTCTTCTGCCACATTAGCTCATGCAAGTTTGAACAACGACGCAAAGGTCTCTGATCCAGATCTCCTTGTACTAGGATTCCAAGAATTGGACCTTTCAACCGAAGCCCTTTTGTATGCTACCAGTACCGTCAAGGAAGACGCGTGGGTGGAAGCCATCTTGGCTGGGTTAGGTGAGAGAGGCATTCTCTACGAGAAGGTATCGTGTTTCATTTATTTATCTACTGCAATACGATATATAATGTCCGTCAGCTCGCTTCCAAACAGCTGGTTGGCATGCTGATCGTTGCAATTGCGAAGAAGTCGCGTCTGTCATGCTTTAGTGACATCAGATTTAGCACCGCTGGTGCAGGAATCATGGGCATTATGGTACAGGCATGAACATGATTTCCGTGACATTTAATCAACATTCATCCTGCAGGGCAATAAAGGTGCAACAGCGATACGGATGTCATACACACCTTTAGGCCAAGAGATCTCCCCAAGTCCCACAGTACTCACTTTCGTTAACGCACATCTCGCAGCATTCGATGAAATGGTAGAGAGGCGAAACTTTGACTTCCACGATCTTTCCAGGCGCCTAGTCTTTGATCAGACTGACGAGCCTGATTCTAATTCTTATGCGAATACCGCATCGGAAACTTCGAGAAGGCCTGTTGGGTTGTTTGAAAGTGACGTATTATTCTGGATGGTGTGTTGTAACTTGCCCTCTCCATTACCTCACTTACACTTTTGGAACTTTAGGGAGGTTGGTTGATTATTACCTCACGAGATGAATGATTGATCTGGCCGTCACAGATTTGAATTACAGGATAGATCTTGCGGACGGGGACGTCAGAGAACTACTAACATCTTTTCCAGGCCCGGGTAACGTCCCACTTTTGCTAAAGTATGATCAGGTTAGATGATGACTGACATAATTGATCACCGTGCTGATTGTATCGAGCACTTAGTTGAAGATGGCTATCGCAAGCGGGAAAGCATTTGCCGAGTTCTCGGAGCATGCAATTACACATATGCCGTGCGTAGTTTCCTGCCGAATAATTACATAAATTCAATCGCTAGGCGTGGTAGTTCGTACAGATATGCGTCAAATACATCAGAAGATTCTCTGGGATATGATCGAAAGTGAGCGGTTTTCGCAATTGGCTTACTATTGGAGCATTTGGCTTATCCTGCTAGGCGCAAACCCGCATGGACGGACCGCATATTACATATGTCGGCTCGAAGTGTTCCAGTCACCCAACGTTCATACTGCAGCCATCCTCAAATAACATTGAGTGATCACCGTCCAGTGTCAGCTGATTTTGATTTAAACGTGTGTTCTCTGTTCACAATGCCATGGTGATCCATTCATGCTCGATGTTTATCAGGTATCAATTGTTGACAAGCAGAAACGTGAGATCGCCGCCTCTAAGCTGTATCGGGAGTTATGGGGCGTGGAACATTCTTCAAAAACACCGAAAATTAAGCTGCAGCCAGTGAAATTGGACTTTGGAAAAATCTAGTAGGTTCTTGCACCTCCTAGTTGGCGATGATTGAAGTTTGGCTCAAAGCTACAGGCGTCTAATCCGACAAACGTTATCCATTCAGAATAATGGACAGGCAAGTTGACTCAGTAATTTGCACAGCCTTTGATGATTATGATTTCCAGATCCCCTGCGTTTACCGATTTGTCACTGCAAATGCTGAACAGCCAATCTGTAAGTAATACCTGAGCTCTCATATCACCAATTGATATGTTGTATCAAAGGTCCACAGTGGCTTAAGATTGATCCCGTGGTGGTGCGAGGCATCCTCATACTGTCAAGCTAAGACTAACCAGCAAATTTCTTTCTTTGCAGGGCTTACTTCGTCCGGGTGAATCGTCGACTATCACTGTCACAGTGTTTGTCGATAACTCGTCTGCGTCACGGCTGAATCTTTTACCGCCCCGCTTGGATTTTACCCTCATACTGCACACTGCTCTAGGAAAAGATCACTTCATCTCGGTCACCGGCGAATACCGTATGTCCATTCCTGTGCAGCCTGATATACTCACTGGAGATAATGAACACAGAATATACTTGCTTCGCAAACAAGCTTGCCAGACTTACACGACTTCCCTGTCCCGTGCGATCTATGAAGTCTCCGAACGATCAGGTGCCTGCACAGCAGTTAGTAAACGCCCCGAGGGAGATCATGAGGTTGATCAATTGGTTGATGACCTATGTCACTGATCCAGTTCGTGCCATCAAGGTTCTGACTGCATGTCCTAATGGCGCTCTAGAGTGATTTATTCAATGGTCTTATTGAAGAGAGCATATGCATAAACATCAGAGAGGTGTTTGCGAGTCATCTTCGACATTCATGCATGTGTTAATAACTGTTCATAGTGTCTTGATACAGGAGATCAATTCCCATCCCCCCAGTCTGGAGAAGAACACGGTCCGCTGACGACTGCCATTGTATCTACGCTGGTACAGTTATTGGACTCGTTGGTAGATCCTGTGGTGCCCTCGTACCTTCATGCGCGGTGTCTGCAAATGACAAGTAGAGACGAAGCATTCGAGGTACGTTCACAAAACTCCAGTATCTTGGATAGTCTTTATGCGAGTCCCAGCTACTGGATGAATTTCCTCCTGAATCAGTCAATGTAAGGTTCCACACATGGTGCACACCTCTCGTTAACTCTTCCTAGGTATGGATCTCGCTTACTGCATTCCTCCATTATATGTCCCTGCAAAAACTGCCGTCACAATCATCGACGAATCAAGCGGAAATGGCAGAAAAGCTGGGTGCGTCTATCATGCATTATACGGAACTCACTAGAATATCTGCTGAACGAGGTCTGTAGCAACTATATTTGCATCAGTATTACTGCGGGACGACTTAACAGGGCTTTACACCCCCGTGTCTCCAATCGGAAAACAGAAGTTTTTGCTTCATTTTGTTGGCTGATCTACACGCGACATCCCAGGGATCCTGTGGATATATCTCAAGCGCTTTGGATTTGTAGTCACCATGAATTCGATACAAGTATAGGACAATGCATGCAACGAGAAACAACTAAATTTATAAGATATCGGACGGAGAACAAGTTCGAAATCAGTTGGAAGCAGAAACAAAAGCGGCTGCTTC